AAGATGGAGACACGGAGTCGGAGGCCACTGCACTCGAGAATCGGAGATCGAGGACAAATTTGTCATCAGCTTAAGCCGATTGCACGTATTACCTAGTGTGGTGAATCCATGGAGCGTCATATTTTATAGTAGCAATAACAGCACATCGTGCATCCTACCAATATATTCGAACATTTTCTTCAAAGGTACCGTGTTAGTACACAAACAGGCCATTTCTCATTTTAATTAGGCAAATTACTGACCATAATAGTTTATTGTAACGTAAAACACGCGCGTACGTTTCATAATTGCATTCAATAATTTCACTGCTTCCTTGATTCTATCAAAACGGTCTATTGCCTCTTGCTTTTCATATAAAATGTACGAAGATTTTGGGACCTGGAAATTAAAACATGCAATGGATTCCCGGAACATAATAAATCGATAATATGAAACGTGTAGCTTAGAAAATAATGTAGTAAAGATTTTTGTAATTTCCGTTGAAAGAAAATATATTGATGTTATACGAAACGATGAGCCTCATTATTAACTGTAGATATTAACATCGACGTTGAGATCTTTCTGAGTTTCAGAACCTTTAATCTCCTAACTTTTAATTTAAATGTGACCTTATATGAACCAACTAAGCATTAATACATTTACTGCATAGACAAGTGTGCTGCATTTCTGACAAATAATCAAATAACTATTGCCTGCCATTACAAAAAAACAACTAAAGCTACTATACAAATTGTAAGTATATTAATACATAGGCGGGAAAATAAGGGTATTGCCGGAAGACTTGACACAGGATAGAGTCAATGAGGCCTCGTATACGACTTAGTCAATCCCTGTTCGCGCCATTGCATATCTATAATATGTAGAGCTTTTTCTCAATAAACGCAAGAATTGATACAAAAATAAATTTATAAAAAAAAGTTACTAAAAAGCGGGAAAACTATTTGTCTCCCCTAAAAGTGAACACATTGTGTGTAAACAACGTTTATTATTATTTATTTATTTAGCATTGGCTATGGAGCCATCAGCTTAAAAAGTTAAGAAATTCAAAATGTAATAACGCTTCACTAAAAAATTCATTCGTGTGAAAATCTAATTGTAACTATAAAAAACCCGCCGTTTTTTTTCGGAAACAAAATTTGCAAGTATTTTTTTCTAATCATAAAACAGAATAAAAAACAATAAATCAAACAAAAAGAGCGGACGACTTGGCTGTATGGCCTTTTTCTTCAGTCACTTCGATATTGTACGCAAAATGGCTTGCAAAATGGTGAAAATTTAAAAGTTTGACGGAGAGCCAAAAAAATCATAAGAGGATGGAAAAATAGTATTAGCAATAATTGTAACTTTTTCATTAAAAAACCGATCTCAAAAGTTTGCTTAACGGCTTTTTTCGATTTTCATGGGATCCTCTTATCAGATTCTGTCTTCTTGGAGACTATTAATGCTATGGAATGGGACTATTACTTCTTTGTATATTTTATATTTTTTCGTAGTTGTTATGGTAACGGTGATTTGTTGATTACATGTATTGTGTCCTTAGACTATGGTTTCCATTCTCTAAGATTGTGTCAGGTGAAAAGTCGACTTTTATTTGTAATAAATATTTTTTTTTAATTTATTATCTTAGAATAATAACGCATAGAATGATAGTTTCATATCATACGAACTGTCACAAGTGAGGCAAAAATCAAATTCATGCAGGCTAGTTTTAGTAGTAGGTTAATTTTCGGTTTTAGTGAATATTTATTTAAATTACAAGTTGAAACGCGTTACTTCCTTGTGGAATGTGATGTTAGTATCTATTTTATGTTTGTTTGACGTATTTATACACTTATTCACCGCACATTTCGTCATTTCAGTTAAAATTCTGGAGCTGTTCGCTGTGCAAGTTGACCTTGAGCACTGAAGCCCGCCCACTCTTCTTCTATGCGTTATTATTCTAAGTTTGTGATAACCGAAATGAACCCGGAACAGCATCGTCGGCCTCGGGGACTACCTCGAGGGTATAAGAATTTTCAAAATCGGTCCACAATTGGCGGAGAAATTGGCGAGAACACTGACATGCCTACAAAATTTGACCATTTTCCTTGATTTCAATGGGATCTCCTCATCAAATTCTGACTTGATGACAATGGGACCAACACGAGACCAACCTTTTCAAACAAAAAACAATTTTCAAAGTTGGTCTACAATTGACGGAGAAATCGGAAGATGTACATACGACAGAACATATAATCTCCTTCTTTTTTTTGAAGTCGATTAAAACATAGATTTTCACATGAATTTTCCGGACTAGGCTGGGAAAAAATGTTTGAAAAATGTTTTTTTTATAATCTGGCAAAAATAAACTCTTTGCGTATTCTTTATTCAAAAGAAAATCGAGCATGTTTGAGAAAAATAACATTTTCGACACGAATTCTGTTTTATTCTGTTGATTACAGGGCAAATCAGATATAAATAGTAAGTATAGATTGAATATCGTCGCTTGGAGTGAAGACTTCGTATACGCGTTTTCATACTTAGTTCGTTTTTAGTGATTGTTGTTGAAGAAAACTTCTTGCTGAAGTATATTATCAAAGTAATATAGTATCTGGAAGTGCTATAATTTAATTAATTAAAATGCTAAGTATAAACATTATTAACTATATTTTACACCACATTTTGATTTTCGTCCTAAAAAGTTACATAGAAATCATATACGAGATATTCACTCTAAGACCACGATTGAGATCTTATTTATGTATTTGAGAATTGTCCAAAGTCATTCACCGCTTAAGCACGTAATTAACTCCTTATTTGGCCGTTGGTGGTATTGCGAGGGCCTTCGTTACTTAACATGGTATCATCCAAGATGATGAAAATTATGGAGTCTATAAAGGAAAGTTTGAGATGTATCTTTAGATCTAATTGACATTGGAACTTATCGTTACGATTGAGTTAAAAAAAAGAATGAACGCAGTGATAGTACATAAATGGGCCGATTGAAATGTGAAAAATATTAAGCATATTCCTCGTTCTTGAGTGCATATTTCTTTCTTGTGCATAGAGTAGATAAGAAAGAAAAGCTTGTAAAGACTTTTTAAGGCGGCATTCCTAAAATTTCTTTCCGATGTTACGTCATCGTTATGGCGTCGAAAAAGGACTAAAAGCCTTTAGTTGAGTCCAAGATGGGATGTTTCGGGCTACTCTTGCTTAGTCTCGTGAAAAAATAATCAATAATAATTTTTGAAATGTTGACGAAGAGAGAAGACGATTAAAAAGTGCCTTTATTTTGCATACTTGATCTATTAACGCTACATGTGATCGTATTTGTTTTGTCATTAGCTCCAACGCTAACCGGTATAAGCCAAGAACGAAAAATACAAATAAAAACATACCTCCTTCTTTTTTTAAATTGGTTAAAAAAGATCATTGTCAAAAGCGCTGTCATCATAGTTGGGAATTAAAAGCATACGGACACTGATATTTTTCAAATTCTAAGAAACTGACACTGGCGATAATCGCTATAATTTTTTTTTCATCTTCTAAGAAAAAGCTGCACTGGCATAAGCCTAGTGGCCGCCATAAAGGAAATAATAACACTTAGGGTCGTATTCCAGAACTCTACTCAATGCTCAAGTCAGGATTTGAGCAGACTTGATGTATGATTTCAAGCACTGAAAGTACGACCCTAATGGCAAGGACTTGAGTTTGATTTTCAGTGCTCACTGCAATACTCACGTCCTGACTTGAACATTGAGTAGAGTTCTAGAATACGACCCTTAGAGGATGGAAAATGGTGTAAGTATTAAAGTCATATAAATAATACGAACTACATCGACATAAATGTGAAATTTTATAACTCTCATATTTAAGCATAAAAACGTTACATACTAGTTTCGTTCGTAAGAAAAAAATCTAAGTCTCATATTACATTAAAGCGTGAAACCCACAGAGAGCGGGTGCGGGTCGGGCGCGTGTCGGGTCGGGAAAGAGTTCGTCCAGGAAAGTGCCACCTTACCTAGCATTAATGTTAGCATTGCTGTATTCCGATTTTGAAGGGTAAGGGTGCTGGTGAAATTACTGGCACATTGGACTTGTCAACTTGTGTCTCAGGGTGACGGGCCCAGTGGTGCCCCTCAGATATTTGCGATTTAAAGCTCTAAGTGGCACTGCAACTGTAATGGACAGGCGTGTAGCTGACTTCTTGTCACTTGATATTATAAAAAAAAAGTTCGTGTATTTATATGGACGACAACACACCGAACGCACCCGCGGAATCAGATCCGTCGCGGTCCCGACCCGACACGCGCCCGACCCGCACCCGTTCTCTATGTGTTTCATGCTTTAGTAAATGGTGCGCGACAAGCGTATTAAATGTATATTCTATCTCGTAAGTTTTCAAAATAAATATAGGTATGGATATTTAATATTATTATATGGATGGATGTTGTCTGACCACACCCTTGCGGGTATGCAAAATCTATCGATGCTTATCTATACTTTCGTTTCCAAGTTTCAAGACACACGGCACGGACAACTGCTATAAATCCAACTTTATTGTCGTCGGTCCACGCACTATATCTTAGACAGGATATACAAGTAACAATAACGGTCAGTGCAGTGGTTGATTTATTTAGTCGTGTGTTTGATTAAGATAATTTAAGTATTGAAAATTTTAGCTATTGTTAGGGGATATGTTACCTGCATATTGCGTAAGACACAATCATATATTCAATAGTTTTATTTTTTCTTTTGCGTACATATTTTAGTACATTATTTCCTTTGTTTTATTATATTATTTGAGAATAAAGACACCTGTTGAAAAAAAGTAAAAAATTGAAAATATCGGAATAGCGTTGGTCAAGATAGGAATGTTGCAAAGTCAATAAGGGTTTAAAATTCCAAACATCATTATGGGTGCTTAGATTTGAAATGGGTCAGCAGGTATAGAGCGGCGCTCCCGCCCCTGCGGCTTGGTGCTCGCTTCGTGTGCGCTTGCGCTCATTCGCTTTTTGCCCACCTTTCGACTCGCGCGCAGCCTCCACCATTGTTCGCGGGCGCATTTCTCTCACGTGGGAACTATTGACTTTTTCGTGCTTTACTAGCAGCTTTATTCATCTGCAACCACCGCTATCGCCGCACGTTGTACTTATCTATGGTTTTGTAGTGCAGCTCTATTTATGTTATGGGCGAGAGATACTGTGTGATATCAAGACTGGGAATTGTGTGGTGATGTGATGTCCTCAGGGGAAAGTTGAGTGATGATCAGATAGACAGAGTGCTTGGATCTTCCTGTCCGATAACCGGAGAGCATGGCGATCGCGCCGGTGAGTGATAATCTCCTATTACTAAGAGGCATTTAAAATTCTCGTGCGGAGCTTTTAATGCATCCAATTCATAATCTTATGATACCACGTAGTATTTCTTTTAAACTTACCGTAGTATTTTCGATAAATGGATTGTTTATCTTCTTTAATAACATTTTTAAATGAACGTCTCGGCTATTAGTTTCATTATTGTTCCGTAGTTTAATTTAACCGGTATGAATATATACAGTGGTATTTAAGTATATGTACAGGTGCTTCTTTTTGAGTAGTATTATTAGAAATATTAAAGAAAACTTTGATTTCTATGAACTTCCTTGAGTAATGAATTAGAAATGAATGTATTTTTTCAAATCGCGCATAAATTTTTTATTTCCTAAATTTTGGTCACGCTCACGACAGACTACAACATTGGTTTGTTAAAATAATATATCCGAATCATTTTTTGTTTCTTTCTTTATTACTACATATATATATTGCAGTTGAAATGTTACGACATATCTATAATCATCGTATAGTTGTTGTACATCTATAAAATAATTTGGAGTATTAAAATTTAGAAAAAAGAACTATATTTACATATTAAGCAATTGAAATGTTGTTTCTCTAAATAATTTCTAATAAGTACATCACATTTCAAGATAAATTGTGGCCACAAACCTTTATATAAATATTCGCGTTAATTATACGAAGATATATAAAGAGTCAAATCAATATTGACTCGTAGAAGTAATTTTGAAGTATTAAAATACAAAATTTTTATAAACATGCTAAGCAGGTACCAGTTCTATACAAACTTCTCACTGTACTATCAAAATATATGGGCTCGTTTTTTTAAATTATGATAGTAGTGTATTGTAACTTCCTACTGTAAACATTTAACCCTTTTTCGGAGAGGTTTAGACAAGAAATCTAACCTTTTAAGGCGACTGATAAGAAGAGATTATAACGAACACGAAAAGTATTTTACGACTCGGAATGTAATGGATCACTTTTTAGCTTTTGAGTAATATTGCTTGAGCAATGAAAGGATTTAAAGTGTTTGACACTTGTAACAAATATTCAAAGGGCATTTTTAGTATGTTTGAATGTATAACATTATCAAAATTTATTTCTTGGACTGGAAATTTTTGACATCGGCTGGATACTATTTGGAGACGGCGACCGTCTGAAGCTCTGTGATCGAAATTCCGCAGCTTGCTTTTGGTCAGTGATAAATGAATAAATGAACTATTATATATATATATATATATATATATATATATATATATATATATACACAAATAATATATATATATACAAATAATATATATATATTATTTGTACGTATGTTACGCGATAACTCCGAAAACTTGTGAACCGATTTTGATTATTCTTTTTTGTTGGAAAGAGGGTATCTCAGTCTTGGTCCCATAAATAGTAACCGATTTTAATAAAACTTGGCAAATACTATGTAATTCCACGGACTTTTGAGGTCGGTTTTTATTTGTAAAAAAATGAAGTTTATTTTTGAATCGGTTCTCCAGCACCGCCTCCAAAACATGTCAGCTATTGTTTAGGTTACGACTGTCATATACATTGATAAAAGTTCCTAAATAAACAAAGATTAAAGAAAAATACTATTCATTTTCCTAATTACCCATTTACTTTATTACCTATGCATTTATATCATACTAGCTGGCGCTCGCGTCTTTGACTGTGTACAATACGTACTGCGAGTAGTACTGTACTAGACTAATTTTTATAGTTTTATTGGTTCTCCAAACAAACTTTCATCCCCTATTTCTCCCCTTTTTAAGATTAACTTTTGTGACAAAAAGTAGCCTATGTCCTTCTCCTATGTCACATCTATCTCTATACCAAAATTCAATAAAATTGGTTCAGCGGATTAGGCGTGGAAACGTAACAGACAAAGTTAGAGCGTTTACGCACTACGTCCGATTCATATCTGGGGGTCTACTCTCGATCTCCGTCCGACATCCGTCCGAAACAATTACTACCAAATAAGCAATACTTGGCCAAATGAAAAGACGCGTGATGCGAATGAAGCTTCATACTTGATACTTGTCTTTTAATTTTGTCAAATATGACTTATTTGACTGTAATTGTTTCGGACGGATGTCAGACGGAGATCGAGGGTAGACCCCCAGTTCCGAATCAGAGAAATGACGGTCCGAAATGTCAGAGGGATCATTTTAGCTCTAGGTGTACAAGCGATATTTGTATTTTCTCGGATTGGAATCGGACTTAGTGCACAAACGACATCCGTGTGTGGGTTCGAGTTTTTTAGATTTGTACGGTCTCGGATTCGGAAAGAATACGAATCGGATGCAGTGCACAAACTTTCGCATTTATACATTGACTTTTGTAAGTCAATGCATTTATAACATTACTTTGTAAGTTTGGATTGACAGCAAACTTAACCTAAAAATTCAAATTTGAAAAATTTGAATTTAGTTTTTTTTTAAACTATAATAAGTTACTTCATTCGTCACCGTGTTGTTCCTTAAATCGTAATAAATGCCGGTTGTTTGCCACTCGAAGAGAAATGTGAGACGGCGCTGTTTGCTCGTCGAGATAAGGCGACGACCATCTTCACCGGATCTGAGTCACACAGTCAACAGCAAAAGCATAAAAATTATAAAAAAAATTCTAGCTACGACAAATAAATAGAACCTAAACTACTAAATTACAATTATGAAAAATAAATTAATAAAATTTGCTCACAGAATATAGCTTAATAAATGCCATTTTAGCAAATTATTATGTTCAGTTTATCGCCAATGAGAATACGTAGTATATTTTAGTACTATCATTCATCACTCTACTGTAGTTGAAGTCGGCTCAAAATAGTAAGTGTAGTCATTTAGTTAGGACAAACGATATTAATGTGTTTTGTATTTTTCGTTCGTTCCCACTAGTTCTATTGAGTAGTCCTATTATATAACTACTGGGGCAAAAAAGCCTCATTGCAGTTGCGCTGGATCCTGTTATAAATACTTTTCTCCATTTAATTTTCTATTTAAAAGACAAGAAGGTACTTTAACTTTAGTTGCCGATTGTACGTTTTCCGTGAAGCACCTAAACAAAGATGATGGAGAAGACGTGTCTGAGGATCCGGTTCTTGAACTTAAACTGTCGTAACAGTCTGGTTTCGCTAGTGTTTTTCCTTGAACTCATTACGTGGCAATAACCGACTACGTTTCAAGTTTTTAATATACTTCTATACTGCTTAGGGAGATATTTACGTTTGTAAATGTTAGCGTGTATTTATTTTAAATCGACGTTTTGCGTCCTTTGTAGGTCCATGTAAGTTTGAAAAAGCAAATATGCGGGATTTAGATCGAAAAGAATAGTTTCATTTCCTATGTGTAACAATAGCGTAAACCTAAGAGCACGATATTTAAGTTAAGTTAAAGATTTAATTTTAGACATTCTTTTGGATAAGTTTTCTTTCTAAAAAATGGTCTATTCCACTGGTCCCTGGATCAGCTGCCCCCACTGGTGGGGACATGTGGATTTTTTTCCACTCTTCCCTACCACACCATCACTGGTTGGAATATCCCTATCAATATAATCTTTTGGCGTGTACAGGACAGTTTCGATAAAAATATCTAACAATAACGCTCAAAGTAATATCTTTTTGATAGGTAATTGTAGCTGGTACCCACCAGCAAAAAAGGATTTTTATCTTCTCTCAAACATTGCTTCATATTCACAGGAATATGAAGCAATGTTTGTTTGTTAGTAATAGTACTATCTTGGATTAACATTTTAAAAGTAAAAGCGAAGATGACACGCTAACATTACGCTATCTACCGTAATAATATAATTTGTAACTTTCAGTAAAACCATTTTACTTTGATAATAATACGAAGCTGCGTTAAATTAAAATTATATAAATGAAAGGTAGAATTATTAATTAGTAGCGTATATTTTTTGTCGAAGTGTTATTAACAAATAGGTAGTGTGGTTGTTGGTGCGTGCCAGCAAGCGCGCTGCAAATGTTCGATACACAAGCCGTGCGTGCGCGCACTTTCGATTTCAACGCGTTTACTTGCTCTAAATCACTCGTTCAACTGTCTATATTTTCGGATGTCAGTAGGTACATAATATTTGCATTTGAAACTAGAATATCCGGATTTGTTTATCACGTATACGCAATAATTTTAACACTTGTATCAACTTATAAAACAATCGTATCTCTACCGGGTATTAATTAAAAAACCAAATAGAAAGCATATTTACGTACACGCGTAGGTCAGTCCATTGTTTCAGCTGGATTCAGTTTGATATGGTAAAAACGGTCTAAGTTGTGAAATTTCCTGATAGATAATATAAACTTTTTCTCAAATATGCACGGAAATGTTTGCATTACTTTCAAAAAACGAACACGGAAAGACTCTACACTTTTAAATCTACGTACTATTGAACTATTTAAAAAGGCAAAAGAAAAACTCATACAGCTAACAGCCAAGTGTTGGTAATTGCGAGAATTATGTAAGTTTTTTTTTAAAGGCGGTAAAATAAACTAAAATGCTTTGGTATTATTTTCTGTTTGTTTTTGCCATTACTCTGTTTGTTGTGAAAATAAGTTCTAGTGACAAGAGCGGTAACAAATATAAATATTTATGGATACACGATAAACCGCGTCATCAGAAGTTCAGCAGAGTGTTATTAAAACGTGTCTAGTAAAACTGTGTGAAATATGACTTTTAATTTTAATAATTTTTTTTTTCACTTTTTGTATTATACATCTTCTTCTCTTTAGTCTTCCTCGCATAGTTTGAGAAAATCACTATATTAGCCTCGGCAGGAACGGGAATTGCTTGACTCGTATTAATACAAGGCTGATACTCGTCCACCAATCCCTTACTTCTGTAATAATGTACTATTTGTAGATAGTAGATATATATGCCTTAAAAAGATGTTACAAGTTTCTTTCAAGTTTAAGAGGGAGCATGCCAAAAAAGTTTTGACGTTGGCTCCGCCCAAATTTGTGA